TTTTTTTTTTACATCTTAACAACTCACTCTTCTTCATTTTTTTTTTCCATTCTATTCTCAAAGAATAATTCATCACCTATTAATAACACTTGGCATGTAACTGGCTATCCTCCTAACAAAATTGTCATCTCTTCAAAATGGGTTGACAAAATTAAACTCAAATTTGTTGGTATAGTTGAAGGAGAGAAAATTTCCTGTTTGTTTTCTCTCCATCTTTCAATTCTGATAAAGATCAAAGAGTATAACAAGCTTAGAATATTAGAATGGTATAAACGGATAATATAAGAACCTCTGTAACCCATGATCCATGTGTGCATCTAAGGATGAAATCACCAAAGGCATCTGCTCCAACACCTTTATATGTAAAAACGAAAGACATAAGAAAACCAGCTTTTACAAATAGCATATTTGTATCGAAATTGACCATTGTTGGAAAAACCTGTTGAGTGTTCTTTATTGTAGACGCTTTAGCCAAAAGATTTTTAGGAAGCTTTACAAGTTTGTCCTGCTAATAAGAAGATAAAAACATTAAACAAAACTAAAAGGGCTCAAACTCAATCCCTAACAAATCACTTCAAATTTCCATGAAAACTTATTTGAATTACATTTGGAAACTCTCTCTTGGAATCAGGATGTTATGGTGCAAATCTATATTCTATATGTTGTGCTGTGATAGATCATAGATATTGTTTTGATACAAATGAATGCATAAATTAGGACAAGAATGAGTATTTTTCCTCTTCTTCAGTTATCAAATATTATGTTAACTGAGAACTAAAATTTCATCTTATTAAACTATAAAACATTTTATGTTGTTTTTCTTTTACGGGAATTCCGTAAAATGCTTAATCAATTACACGTTCGGCTAATCATAATTGCATAACTTAAGACTGAGAAAAGGAACTACCATACCAATTAGACCACATAATCGACTATTAAAAATTGGGTGAATATTTGAAATAGACATACAATCCCGTAATTAGGGTGATAATCTACCTCTTTTAAAATTACATGTAATTCACAATCAATCAATGCTTTATTAGCTAGTGTGAATAGCGAATCGATATTAGCATTCTCACACTTAACTTTTTCCCCAAACTAATCGTGATAGATTATATGATAATTAGAATTTGTATACGGAAGTGTACATCTACATATTATAAAGAGCGAGAGAGACATGGAAATGCCTGAGATGGAGACGATTGAAGCATGATGTGAAGGAGATTTGAGGTAGAGAGAACCGCTTGCGAGATTTGATCTGTCACCATCGTTTTTGCTGAGCTATCTCGTGAAACACTGCTCGGCCCACGCGATGTTCTTCCTCTTACGGAGATAGGTACGCCTCCGGTGGCCGGAGGAGTTGGAGAAGGGAATGAAGATGACATGAGTTTTACTTTTTGCCCCTGCGCCTGGAGGAGTAAAATAAGCAGAAGAGGTGCTTGTGTTACGGGCTCCGATCCTTCGATGATCCCGTCGTTATTTCTAATTGACTCCGGGATGGAAATTTAAACCGGAAAGTGTGTTTGTTTAAAACTTTCATGTTTCATCCCTTAAAGACGATTTTATTGCAGTTTTAATCTGTTTCATATTTAAAATGACCATAATACCCTTATATATTCATTTTCCAGTTAATCTGATAATATTTATTCTTATTTATAATTTAAAAAGTAAATGGACCTCTCTCCCAACACCCCTCACCCCAACCCACCCCACCCCACACACCCGTTATCCTCCTCTCCTGATAGATCTGCTCTTCTCCGTCTTCATCTGATCCTATTCTGATCATCATCTCCGACCACCCCAATTTTCACATTTCACATGCAGTTGCCAAATCTGAAACATGTACCAAATGGTTTTAGAAATTGGAAATCACTTAGAATGAAACTCAAACGAAGATTCAACCTGAAACCCAAATAGTTCTGATTTCCAAACCCACAATCTAACCCGAAATCAAACCCATAATCGTACCTGGAAATCAAACCTACCATCGAGACACAGAGAGTGGGACGAGAAGAAGATGGGCGAAGAAAGAAGAAGGGAATCATCGGAACTGTTGATGGTGGTGTGGTGACGGTTCCTACCTTGATGACGACGGTGATCGAAGATGATGTTGATGGTGGTGGGAACCCCGATGAACAGAAACAGATGTGGTGAATCTTTGTCGCCGGAAAAATGAATCTGGTACCTCGACTAACAAAACCCTTGACACGATCTCTAGAATAACATCTAGAGAAGATCTTCATACAACATTCTTGCATATGTGTATCTTGGATCTAAGATCTGCAAATGATTTCTTGCATCAAACTCCAGATTCAAGACATTGGTCGGAGTTGCAGGTTTCGAAGGGGCGATGAAAATGGTCTGACTTACACGTTTCGAATGGGAGATGAAAACGGTAAGAGCTTCCGGAGGCTTTGAAGATGTTTTCGGTGGCGAAACTTGAAGAAAGAGGGAAAGGTGGAGCAACAGTGGCCAGTGGTTTCCAGTGAAACTGTGGTGGTCGACATTTTTGACAGAGAGAAAGAGATCTCGATGGTGATGTTGTTTACTGATGGTCGCTGTCCGATCGATGGAGAGGAATAGGGGATGAGAAATAGGGAAACGAAGTTGGGGAAAGGGAAGGGAGAAAGGTAGGTTGGGGTGTAGGTTTCTATTTTCTTTTTCATTTTTTTCAATTTAAAAATGATAAGTAAGTAAAATAAAATTGAAAAAAGAAATTATTGAGGGAAAAGTAGTCATTTTATGTATGTAGGGACGGACCGATTGCAAAAACAATTATACATGGACGGTCTGAGTTAATCGAGATTATTCTAATAGAAACAAGAATGAATCGAAATCAGATGAGGTAGAATCGATTTACAAATTGTAAAGCAAATCGTGAATGATAAAACTAATCATGTGATAACCATTCAACCATTTTCAGAACATGGTGCAGCATACCAACACCCCTACCATCTTAATCTATTTCAAGAATCATCATCGATTATCAACCCAACACCTTAACACTACCCTTATTCCTCCTGATAAACCATCTCCCAAGTCAACTTAATCGCCCACAATCAAACACCTTTCTTCACCCCCTTTCTCGAACCACCAAACACCACCCTTAAATCGGATCATTGAGAGTCGCGATAAAACACACACACACACACACACACCTATTAATCGAGCCATCTGAGATAAATAAAAGATAATCATGGTTCGATTTCACCCTTAAAAAAGATTTCAGATTCAAAATTGATTTCATGTTGCATTAGGGTTTACCGGGTTTGAATCCTGAGAGATCAACGGTGGTTGAATCTTGACAGATTCGAAATCAATTTCGTCCCCTGATATGTCTTCAACTTCTCAATCGATTTCAAAAAAATATGTGTGTGTGTGTGTGTGAATCCATCCTAAAGCAATGAGGAGGTAAGAATGCAGAGTAGAATGGTCTTTAAAGCTTTCTTCCAAATATACATAATGTTGTTTTAGAAGGAGAAAGAGACGAGAGAGGGACAAAGAGGGGTGGAGAAGATGAGAAGCGAAGATTTGGGTGTTGTGGGATGGTGGGCTGAAAATGTGATTTGATGAAGAAGATAAATCGCAGAACCTGCAAATCATTTCACTTGAAATCTAGAAATCGAAACCCCATCAAGAGTCTGAAAATCATGACGATCGTTAAGAATCTGGGTTTGTTCTTCATTGAAAACCTAGTTGGAAGCAGAAATGTAGGTATATGTGTGTGAATTTTCAAGTGGAGAGAGAGAGAGAGAGAGATGGGCCCTCTCTTATTTTTAAATTATTAAAATAAATATACAAGTATTAAATTTAAAAATAAAATGAAATAAAAATGAAAAATAAATACACCAAGGGTAGTATAGTCATTTCAATTTTCGGATGGACCAAATATGCAATGAAACTAGCTCAAAAGGACCGCCAATCCAAAAAGTCAGGGTTTGGACCAAAACCCAGAAAAAAAATGCATACCACATGAACCATTTTTGTTGTTTTGTCTTAAAATTATTTCAAGACAAAAATGCAAATTTGGTAGTGTGGTTCGTAAAAATTTAGGACTTTGGTCCAAAATGTTTTAGAGTTGCATCACTGGTACAAAAGCTTTCATTTGTTGTGATTTTGGTCTAGTTTGTTTTATATTTTTTAAAAATGACAAGTTTGCCCTTTGTATTTTCATTTTCTATTTCTTTTATTTAATTTAACTATTTTCTAAATTTAAAAAAGAAAATAACCACCTCACCCCCTACCTATTACTAACCCACCCACCACTTCCATTCCATCTCTCTCTCTCTCTCTCTCTCTCTCTCTCTCTCTCTCTCTCCTGGAAACCCCCACCGTAATGCACCATCGCCACCAGTTACCACCACTACGGTCAGACACCACCACCACCACTAGCTCCGATTAAACAAAAAAAAATCAGATTTGCAAAACAAAACACTCATTTTTTTAGATCTGCAATTTGAAACATGACTATCAATTTTTCTGCAAACTTAAGAACAACATATTTCTACAAACTCAATTTTTTCGAAAAAAACTTAAACAAAAAAAAGTCAAGCTGATTCCCACTCTCGTTTTTATAGCAGATTAGGTTTGATTCATTCATTTTTCGTCGTTACCACCATCTGAAAAACACTAAATATTCAAATCCGAGGGATGCCACCATCATTTGAAAAACCCTAAATATTCATAACTTGTTCGTCTTCTTCAGTAGCAGTGACGATCAGAGGGTTTTCAAAGAGGTTCAACACCGGTGGGTTTTCACTGGTGCTCTTGAAGATTTCTAGATCTCGTTTGCAGATCTGACCATCGTCCCCACCATCTGAAAAACCCTAACCATAACACCATCTGGAAATCTTTCCCTATCGCAGATCTGAAAAATGCTCCGATCTAAAACCCTCAAACCAAATGACATGCTTGATTTATCCATATCGACGACTTTAAAGAACCAATTTGTGGTGTTTGATAGTTTCTAACGATGTCTGTGGGTGTCAGAGGTGCTCCTGTCGGTGGAGAGGATATAAAGGGGGATGAGGCAGATGAATCTTGGAGATGAAAGATAAGGGTGGATGTGTGTGTATATTTACGAGCGAGATAATGTGACATCCCAGAATTTAGATCAAAGACTGTGAACGGTCAAGTCCATAGTAAATCTCTTTGTAATTTGATTCATTTAGTTTTAGTGCATCTTTTGTAAATTAAATGAGTTCATTACAACTATTATAACATACCAGATGGTGTGACATCCTCAAATTCACGGTCATTTTAAAAATTTTATTTATGTTTATTTAAAAATCAGAGTATCCATTTTAAAGAATGATATTGCGGATTCCCAGAAAACATGATAAAGATATTATCAAAGCATTTCCGAAGAAATGTATTTTGTTTATATTAAAACTTTGGGATGTCATCGTCAATACAAAAACATAAGCATAAACAGACCTTACGTTCATTTAAACTAATGATTTACATCTCCTTTAATCTCTGAGTATAATGTGTCTTCGTATCGATGCCTGTGATACAAATAAACTGAGTGGGTCAGGTTGGGAAACCTGGTGAGTACATAGGGTTTTCAACCCACAATAATAAAGTTAATTTGTTTCTTCACATATTTCATGTCAAACAATTAATCCGATTACCCATCCCCATTTTCTTTATTTAATCTTCCATAAAGATTTATCCTAAGGGTCATTTCCTACATCGTTTTTACCTCTCATCATTGCATTTACTTATATGTTTGTTCCTAAGGACTTTTCCTAAGGATCATCGCCTACATCGCATAGACAGTACTGATTTTGGGGATTACTCCCCCAATACGTGTCCAGTAAGGGTTAGAGTATCATCGCATGAATACGTAGTTACTACATTGCCTGAACTCGTAACTCATCACCTACAGGTTATGGGCCTGTCGGTGTTTCCACATGACTTGTTTAGATTAGTCAGTGGCCGCCATCTATACTCTGGTAGATGACTACATCACAACATCGCAACATTGTAGGTCAAGGTTATGACATCACCTAATCATCTCTTATCTTGCATCACTTATTCATCGTTGTATATCTATCATCACCTAGTTATTATCACTTTCCTATCACCACCTATCTCTCATCACCCGTTACTACCCAATACATATTTATAAGTATAAAAATACATATACAGTTTAAATCATGTAAACATGTATAAATCGTTCATCTAGCATAAATATTAGGAACACTGATAATAAGCACGTATAACATGTATTAATATTAAATACTTCATATCTATGTGTAATATGAAAGTAACTATGTACTCACTTGTTAAAGTGACGACTCCAAACTCAGGAAGCGCTTCGCTTCTAACAATTTTATTTCCCTTCGACGAAACCTAGTATCATTATCACTAGATTTTAGTC